GTGTAGATTCTATTTTGTTCAAATCATGACCCCCGGGGTTAGGATGGGGCCACAATGAAGGATCAAAGTCTTAAATAGAAATATATAGGAAAATATCTTCTTCTGAAGAACTGCAAACCATGATTAGTCATTTTGATATGGAAGCATCCTCAGGTAGTGTAGATTCAATTTTGTTCAAATGATGACCCCCAGGGGTTTTTTGGGCCCATTGGGGGATCAAAAGTTTTACATAAGAACATATAGAAAAAAATATTTCTTCTCAAGAACAGGAAAGCTATGTTTAATCATATTGATATGGAAGCATCCTCATGTAGTGTAGATTCAAGTTCAAATGATGACCCCTGGGATAGGGAGGAGCCACAATGGAGGATTAAATTTTTACAAAGGAATATATGGGAAATTTTTTTTTAAAATCTTCGAATTCTCAAGTACAATAAAGCCATTTGCTATATTGACATGGAAGCATCATCAGGTAATTTAAAATTCAAGCCCCCCACCCCCCAGGTAATCTTTTCAATATTGAACTGATTTGTGTTTTTGCCTAGCCAATGTGCTCAGGTGAGCGATGTGGCCCATGGGCCTCTTGTTATACTAACAAGCATGCATTTAAAGAATTGTACCTATTGTAGTGAGTTAACATTTAAAGCAAGGGTTCTTCACAAATAGTTGTAGCCACTTAATTGGTTTAACTATTTCATATTTTTTTGGATTTTTTGGTGCACTACTAAACCCTGTGGCTGCGCAGTCCTGCAGGTGTATTGTGCAATTCATAGCTGCAAATTATTGCAAGCGTCAATTAAGCTGCATATACCCGGAGATTGTTTTCATTATGAAGATGACATGGACCAGTTATCAAGTGTTAGCAAGGCTTCATTTTTGAGATATTAAGGTTTTTATTTTTAGTTAGTCTCACTTGGCTGCACACAAAACCAAACCCTTAATTGGTCATTAACAAAATTACTTTGTAAAAGATCACTCTCTTATTTCACACACAAATACTCTAAAGTTGATATTAAAATGATGCTGGAGTTCCTCATTGACAACATCCATGTAATCTTTGAAGATCAGATCTTCCAGCAAACTGTTCGAATTCCGCATTTATTGTGTTCCTTTATTATAATTAAACATTTTCGGAATTTCAGATACCCGAAAGCAGACTTCGGACTGCGGACTTTTCACTTAAAGGAACATGTCAAATCGTAATTGAATAATATGAATATAATTTTTGAATTGAACTCGATAATCACATTTTGTTCTCTATACTCTGTGCACATATGAATGTAGAATTGGGGAGGGGGGCTGCATTCCACCTTTTTCGAGAATAATGTTTTGCTACTTTTCCCAAGAAATTGTTTCATTTTATAAATTGATAACGCCCTTTTCCATCGACAAATGGAAAACAGGAATCTTGAAGAACAAAGAAAATTTAACAGACTTTTATCTTTATACAGATATCTTACTGAACGCAATAATAAAAAAAAATCTGTCGGAGCAGTTTACGGCGGTCACTCTATAAAAAAAATAAAATGTGTGATAGGTATTCTTTTATTAAACGTTTGTAGACATAAAACCTTTCATTTAAAGAAAAAAGTTTGTTCTCAGGAAAATAAGAATTTTTTTTAACATTATCAGTGTCTTGAACATGTGCATAACATATCACCTACAACTTCTTTGATACTCGACATCTCAAGTGCGGATCCAGATATTTTTGAAATGGAATGTTGAGGAGACAAATACATTTATACAAATACATTTATAAACCAAGGCACATGACTTTGAACTAAGACCGGATTTTAAAATTCTAATTCACAATCATATTCCCTCTAAAATATAACAACTCAATTTTACATTTTCATTGGAATAGTCAGCCAAAGTATGATACAAATTAGGCAGGATATTTATAGCTGGGATTTTGGGCCACCTTGAGGCGTCCAGTGGGTACAGGGAAAAGCCTTGGTGGGAATCCAGAAAGCTTCTTGATTCGGGGATTTTGAAAAACAGACTTTTTAATACAAAACGCAGTAATTTTATTATTGCATATCGGAATTCTTTAATAAAGATTCTGTATTTAGATCACGGCCATGATAAAAATTCAAATTGAATTATCGAGGATCGAATTACATGATCACTATTAATTTCATATACATGTTTACGAGTTGAAAGTCAACAAAGAAATGTCTTAATTACGCAAAAAAAAAAAAAATGTAATATCTTTCTCAATTATTTTAAATTATCCTTAAAAAATGAGAGGTAATCATTCATAATTGTTTGTTTCATTTTGAGTTATTAAAATCACTTAAAAGAATCAGCTTTAGTTTAATTTTCAACTCTAATGTTGCAAAATTTAATGTCTCGTTGTTGAAGAAGCCAAATATATAATACAAGTATATACTATATGAAAACTTAATTTTTCAATTTTTTTTTCATATCCGATTGATTATGAACAAATAGAAATGATAGTTTTTGTATTATTTTGACCGAGCCGATTTGCATAAAATGTTGAGAAAAAAATCATTTTATTTTCCTTGTCTATGTTCACTAGAGACAAATCGAAATTTTTGAACGATTTCATAATGCTGAACATGATAAATCTAACATTAAGTCTTATCGTTATCTGATAAATCTTAAGATTCCATATATATGTATACACAACTCTCTTTTTTCACCCCTAACTTTCTAACTTTTGTTTTTCAATGGTTATTTAAATTATTTATATTTTTTTTTATTTTTATCAAAATCAAAAGGGGGTGCATTAACCGCCTTAACCGCCTTCTGGATCCGCCAATGTATATCATGTATAGGTTAGATACATATTAATTATGATAAATTCATGTAGTGATTTGTTTGTAATATGCCCCCAAATTGAAATATTTGTTTACGTTTCTACCAATCTTGATAATTATGACATCTTTTATTGTTTAATCTTCATTAATTTTTAATAGGTATAAGAGATAATAAAGAAAAATTCTAAGATACATGTTAAGCCAGTTTTAAAACGTATTTCTATCGTATTTCTGTCTAGTACGATGTCAGATGTCTGAGACTCCGAAAATGTTCATTATCCGACCTGTTTTTAGATTCCTATGGGGCAGAATTTATTTTAAAAACTTCTACATGAGAATTAGAAAACACTTACTTTGGCCTTCAACTCAGCATTCTGATATATCGACCACGTTTTTTATCAAACAATAATAGTTACTTCCATTCATATGTCGACTCGATATATCCCAGTGAACTCAAAATTAAAGACACCTCAGAGTCTGCCTCTTCTTTCATATTTAGATGTTTTACTGACTGAAGACGACAAGGGCCAATTAACAACTAAATTGTATGACAAAGGAAATAACTTCAGCTTTTCCATCGTCAACTTTCCTTATTTATGTAGTAATATTCCGCCATCACTTGCATATGGTGTTTATCTCTCCCAACTTATTTGATACTTAAGAGCATGCTCTGAGTATGATCAATAGATAAACCGACACAGGCTACCGACAAATAGTTTGATATTATAGGGATTTCAACAACCTCATATAAAGTCAGCATTTCGTTAATTCTGTGGTTGTTAAAATGACCTTTTTAGCAAATTAAACCTCTCATTGGTTGATATTTTGATATATTTCATACCAATTGTTAGGCCTTTGTTTTTATACTACTTGTAAATTTGACTACGGAATAGTTCGTCTACCTGATCAATACATACGGCTCATGGCGGCCGTGACCGGTCGACAGGGGAGGTTTACTCCTCCTAGGTACCTTTGGAAGCTCTGGAGGTTTGTGTTTTATGCCCTGTACACAGAGGTGTATATATATATATATATATATATATATATATATATATATATATATATATATATATATATATATATATATATATATATATATATATATTTAGATCGAATACTGTTCGATACCTTCACCTTTTTCATATCTCAATTTGGTAGTATTATCTGTTGGACTATATATGGTATCATCTTTCTACGCAAAAATTAAAACATTAATATTCAATAATATTCAATTCAATAATAGAAGTAGGCATCAAATAATTGGCATCCCTTATTTTTTGTCCTTAAGATAATGACCTTGACCTGACATTGCTGCTAAAATAAGATGATTAAATTTAATTTTAAAATCGATACCATCACTTAGTAATATTGTCTTCTTGAATCTTTGAAAATTTCATTAATTTTTAAATACAGTAAATATGAAAAGAATCCATTTTTAAATACATCTATGATTCGTTTCATTTGACCAAATATAATCTAACAGCACGCATCGACAAAATAAATTCTGTACATTTAATAATCTTTATCTTGAATTTCAGAAAAAAAAAATGGTATGATGCAACGAAATGCGTTAAGTGTTGTGATGTATTCTATTACTATGAAAGTTTGAAGCACCCGATTTTAAAACATGTGATCTAGTTGTTTATCGCTCTTCAATGTGATAAGTATTTCAAGTAATTTACTTTACTAAATTGTTTTTAAAGAAGAGGAAAACAAGCATAGTTTTCATAATAATAATAATGCCTTCTGGCAAGAAAATGAAAATTTTTATTTCGGCCCGATGTAAGCCGGCCCTAAAAATGATAAAAAACATTTGTGATTTTTTTTAAAGTTTAGTACTTTGCTTGGAAAACCGGGTATATTGGAGGAGGGGAGCCCTTAATACTTATAAAAACTTAACATTGATTCAAGCTTCGTATAAGGCATAAAAAGTAGTAAACGGCATCGCAAGAGACGTATGCATGTTCATTTCTTGGCGGAGAGTTATATATAATTGAAATATTGCTTATACAATTAAGAATATTACCATTGCATATATTGGTATTTCCCTTTAATTACACATCGCCCTAAATTGCTCAGTAACATAATGAATTAAAGTTTAGAATCTGAAATATTCTTGTCATGGCAATCTTGATAACAGACTAGACGAAAGGTTTTCATTCTGCAAGTTTACACCTGTATCCATTTATTTTTATAAATAATATACTTGATACTCACTAGATTCAGAAAAAACAAACTGCACAGAAATCAAAGCGAGCAGAAGACAAATGTTCACTAGTCTCTCCATCCTGACATTTCTTGTTGTAATGTGTGTTTATAACAAGAAAGAGAAACTATACTCCTTACAAACATTTATAATATCCTACTTCTGAAGTTTGTGAAGAGTAAAAAGAGTCAGAAACACTTAGATAGCAAAGAAGTTGAATCATCTTATTCTTGTAGACAAAAATATAACTTCCAAGGAAGGCGTGATTCCATTTGCTGTTAAATTTTTATCTCGTTCCAGACATATCCGATTAAAACACAAAATTTTCTTCCTTAAATATTATCTTACTTGTTGAACTAAATGAATGTAGGGAGACATTGGTAAAATGAAAATAGTCTTTTTATCAAGATTGGCATAATATAAATCATTCGCATTATAAATTCCACTTCATTACACCTGGCCCCAAGACCATAAACTGAGAACAGACTTAAGTCAAAATTTCAAATCGATAAAACTTTTGAAATAATTTTGATTATGAAATAAAATTTTCATCACATGTTTGAATTGAAGTGTTATGCACAATTGCAAACTTTTATGCTAATACTTTAAATGAAACTTAAGATATTAAAAATCAAAATTTTGACTTAAGTCTGTTCTCAGTTTATGGTCTTGGGGCCAGACCTAGCAATTAAGTGCAATGTATAATTAAACATAATTACCACTGCATGTCATGGTAAGTTTAATACTTTAAAAAATATGGACAATCTTAGGACAGTTTTAGCAGTAAGGCGGGCTACTTTTTGATTTTGTTGATTACTGTAATTAATAAATTATGGAAAATAAATATATATTATTATAACAGTAACTTGATCCGAAGAGTCGTATCACGTCGAGTTGACAGGCGCGGATCATCAGATCAAACGAGACGCGAAGCGTCGAGTTTGATCTGATGATCCGCGCCTGTCAACGAGACGTGATACGGCTCTTCGGATCAAGTTACTGTTATAATGATAAATTTATTATATACCCCCTTACAACTAACAAGATATAGTTTTAAAAACTTCTGAGATTAATTATTTAATATTTTTCCATTAAACAAAGCATTCTGTCAAGGGACTTTTTGATGCGCAAGAAAAATAACGTTATATTTCTGTGTACTACGTCATCAATTTCAGAGAGGGCTGATATGGATTCAGAAAACCACAGTGTGGTGATCCGGAAAGTCGATCACACCGTCACGTGATTGTACAAAATCTACAGTAAAATTGAGTGATACACTGTTGGGTATATAACAATATGACTAATCATGGTTCTACTGTTCTCGAGAAGATTTTTGATTTTTTTTTTCTGTACAGTAACATTATAAACATCGATCCCCTATTGCGACTACAATATACCCAAAGGCCATGATTTCAACAAAATTGAATTTACACTACATGATGATGATTCCATTCTAATATTAATATAATAATCATTGCCAATCAGTGTTTGAAAATGTTTTGACCTGGTAATATTAACTGAATAAAAAAGGCCGCCAACACAAAACAGATTTTCCTCGTTCCTTCCATGTCTGTATAGGAAGCATTCTATCAAGTTTTCAACAAGGAAGCTTTTAACTGGAAAAGTGACTCTTGATGTTTAGTACTTTAATATAGACACTTGAGTTCTAAGATGCATTAGAAACCTTTTTTTATGGCATATAAGGAAAACAGTAAATGCACATATATCTTTTGCAAACCAAATGAATTGTATTAAAATCGTATAAGTACATGTACCAAAAAAAGGTCTCTAAATTTGATGTAAAGATCTCCGTGGTATTAAGTGATTGAAAACCTAAGCTTGGGCTAAGTATTATAATTTCTTATATATTTTATGGATAAGTCACATGAATGTAAATATTAATACATTTTAAAAATTCTTTATTTCATTAATTATGAAACTTTTTCATCAAATTTAGATACCTTTTGTTTTGAAAAATACGTATAGAATACGAGCGATTTTTAAATACATGTACACTGTTTATGTCACTACATAAAAAATGTGAGATTAATTCGTTCCCCTAAGCTCTTGGGAGCCATTTAAAAAACTTGAATGTACAAGAAATAAAGATGATTGCATATGTTTAATTGTAGCCCTGTTGTTCTTAAAGACTTTTAAAAATTTCTTCTATATTTCGATGTTAAATGTTGACCCCTATTGTGGCCCATCCTAGTTCTAGGGACTATGGTTTGAACAACCCTGATTCTAGATTACATAAAGATGCGTGCATATTAATTTGGCCTATTGTGGACCTGTTATTGTTGAGAAGATTTGAAACGAATTCCCCTATTACATACATGTATGTATTCCTATAAAAATGTTGAACCTTATTGTGGCCCAATTCTAGCCTCTGGGACAATGAATTAATAAACCTGATTCTACATTACATGAAGATGCTAATACATGTATATTGATATGACTCATTATGGCCATGCTGTTGTTCATCAGAAGTTTTATAATAAAATTGATATAAATTGCTGCATAATAAGTAGGTTCTCAATTATGCCGCACCCTAACCCCTTAAATGACTTATTATTGCCCTCCTGTTCTGGAGAAAATTTTCTATATTTTCCTTCATTTAACTTGGATACCTTTCAGTGTGTCCATCCTTCCCCCGTGACCATGATTTGAACAGAATTTACACCCTTCATAAGAAAGCATTTTTATTTTTCTGACCCAGAAGAATTCTCCAGAAGTGTATTTTTGAATAATGCCTTTAATTTTTACTATTTATTAATTATCTACACTTACGTGTGAAAAGTATACACACAAAAAGTATGCAGGAGTATACAGTCTACTATACACAGTGCATACGATAGATAAACTAGAGTGTTCCAAGGAACGTATGTGTCGCCTGCTTTGTAGCTTCATTAAAGAAAATAAATCTAAGAGTGGTCAACTATTTATATATTACTAGTCTGATAGTTCATGCAAAGAAGAAAAATCATCCACGGATAGTATTAAACTGCGATAAAATTTGAAGATCAAAGAAAATATGGTTCCTTAACCTTCAAATGAATACAAATGTAATTAAATTTAAAGGATTTTTATTAGAAATAATTATCTATCGTTTTATCAAAATGTGTTTCCAACAATCCTCCAAAAGGTATTAGTCTGTCTTTACTGCAATTGTCAGTCTACCGATCTAGATGCATTTTCATAGTATTGTATTTAAATATAAATTTGTGCATCTTCCCAAGTCAAGGGTTTCTGATCAACTCCGCTGCACATAAACGCTTGACCAAATAGACTAAGATTAACGGGGTTAGAAATGCGCCCTCTAATTGGCCTCATACAAGTTTGTATGCACCAATCAAAAACATTGTTGTATCTAACCTGAAACTAAATCGAAAACAGAAAAACACGTCAGTTTTAGTCTCAAGGAAAACATAATTACCATAAAATGACCCAGTCGTGTGTTCGAATCACGGCCGAGACTGACCTAAGTCGATAAAAAAATAGGTAGCAACTGTTCCTTCGCCAAGCCAAAGTGAACCCCGTCAAATTTAGTGTATTCGGTCAAGGGATGGAAAATTTTCTTTTAAGTATTCTTTTAAGTTTTCTAACTGTGCGGCTTTGAGGTACTTCTAAGGAAGGAAGGAGACAACATAAAAGGTATATGTACTTCTGAAGAAACACGGAGATAGCATGATAAGTACATGTACTTCTAAAGAAACAATGAGACAACATAATAGGTATGTGTACTTTAAAGGAAGCAAGGAGACAACATAATAAGTATATGTACTTCAAAAGAAACAATGGGACACCATAATATGTATAATGATAATATATAATATGAAGGTGGATATAAAAATAAAATATTTATATAGTAATTAGTATATTATTTCTTTAAAGTTTCACTTGACTGCCAGTGTGTTGGGACTCCTAACAATTTCCGTTTTTCTGCATGAAGGGTGACTGTCCTATATTTCCATTAAATGATCAGAGATGCAGCAGTAGCAAAAGGACCTTACTGTGAAGATTTAATTTACTACCTTAGTTCTTTCAAATAAATTTGTGCATAAAGCGGAAAGAATTTGTCATTCTTTTTACATTTAGAGAGTTACATGTATTTAAAGAAGTTTGGTTCTTAGAAAATGAATTTGAAGAAGCAGTAAGTACATAAAAAATATTTACAAATACTATTAAAATGTGATATTTTCCCGTTTGATACATAGAAACCGTGTTCCAGAAATGCGCTATTACACGTATGAGGCTGTCGTCAATTGTGAAGTTTCATAGAAAATACACTTTAATAAATGTACTACTGTACATTGAAATGAATCATATAAAAGCCAAGTTATTGTAAGCGTTATGAAAACATGAATTTCCAAAGCCTTGCATATATTCTAAACATATTTATTCCGCTTTTGATTCCTTTCCATTTTGAAGGAATTCAGGATTTTATTTTTCTTCATTCGACACTCTTTAACAGTGGGTCGGCATGTTCTATTGCGTTTATGTCGGCATACTGCGTACTTTCTTCTGCTCCCAGTATGGAGGTTTTTCTGTTTGACGACATGTTGTCAAAATCAATTTCTAAATAAACCATTCCACTGTTGTTTACATTCTGAAACATAAAATGAGGTAAAGATGATAAAAAAAAATGAACATTTATTTTCAGAATTTAAAACTCTGGAATCAAAAGCTATGAATATTAATCTTCGGTGTTTATCCTAGTACCTACGGAAATTTGGACTTAATGAATCAGATTTAGCTAATACAATTTAAAATTATCGCAACAATTTAACTTTTTACTCTTAGATATACCTTAATACAAATATTCCTTAAAGGACCTGGACAAAACTTCAATTGTTTTCATTTTACACGATAGACGATCATGACATCTGTTTGACTGTTTAGAATTGTCGTAAATATTCATATTTCGGCTGTCATTTTTAGAACCAACAATACTGACACAAAGCAATTAAAGGAAATTCAAATTCGAGATAATGAAGGACATAGACTCTTTTCCAGTAGTGTTGAATTTAAATTTTTTCTTTTGATATCGTATTTTAAAGTACCACTACCCTAAAAAAGACTTTTAATTATTCCTATTATAGTGAGTACAAACTCAAATTTCTTTAAAACATGGGCCCTATGTCTATAAGGCGCTTTAACGACATACGCAATGTAGTTTGAACTTTATCGTCTTTTCCTCTGGAGTTGAAGAGTTCCGATACTTAAAGGAACTGTGTGCTACATTTTAATGTCTATATATGCTGTTGTACACTTCTTAAACAAGTTTGGATGAACCAAAAACAAGTTTGGATGAACATAACATCTAGAATATATGTACTGTAAATTTTGTATAGTTTTCTTTGAATTATACAAGAATTTTCATAAATTGGTATCTTTTCAAAACCCCTGGTAATGCAAGCTGATTTTTTTGTATACGAACATCTGATGGCACTATAATCTTAAATTAAGATTATCTTGAAAAATTATCAGCAGGTAAGGTACGTTGCGTATGCCCTTAATAGGGGGATGAAAATTGTTGTTTGAAAAACATTCAGCATATTTGCTGAAAAGTCATTTTCAAGAATAACGAAGCACAATGTTGCAAGCATCCCAATAAAGAGCAGATTCAAATTTATTGCACTTATGGTCTCTGGACTGAGCCGAGTCAAAATATGGGATTAAAGTTCAATAAAGAAATACATTAATTAGGAAAATTCTTTTGAAAAACCTTTTCAAGAACATCAGGGCAATAATCAATCAAATTAATATGCTGCAGGCGTTGCTTTGCAGTATAGTTTCAACGTTAAATCATAGTAAAGACAGCGCTTAGTTTAAGCCACAGTACAGAGTATATGTTTACATAGGAATTCTGAAGGAAAATATTTTCAAGCACTAAGCATTTGTTTTTCAAAGGGGTAGAACTGGTTTCATTCTAACTCTCATTTTCAACAGAAAAATGTTGGAGTTAAACTACAATCAGCTGGGAGGGCTCGATCATAATGCACCAATAAGTGAGGGTGGTAGCAAAAATTTTAATAGAAATTTCCATACAAATTAACAGCGACTTCTTAGAAAAAAATGACCTTCTTCTCGAGAACACTAAAGTTTGATTTGGTCACATTTACATATTCAAGTACAATGTCATGTCTTTTCTGTAGGGTAGACTCACATGCACAATGTATTTGAAATCACGACCCTCAAGGCTACCGTAGTTTTAGTGGGGAGTCACAATTTTATTCAAAGAAATATATGTAGAAACATCTTATAAATGTTCTTCTCAAACACTGAAGGGCCACGATTAGTAAAAAAAAATATGCATTTTGGTTTAGATTCACGTTTCTCTAAATAATGACCGATGCGGCTATACTGGGGTTACAACTCAGGTATATATTCTTGCACAGACATTTAGACCTTTCTGTAAAAAATAAACAGTGCTTCATTTTCGCGAGGAAGATGAGGCTGACTCAGGTGAGTTCGTAGTCATGCAATGGGTACCTTGTTTATTTCAATATACAAAACAATGTTAAAATGCTTACTTGTCCGGATTGATTTTTTTCCTTCACTGACTGTTTCTTGTTCATTTCTGTTTTTTCTGTAAATATCAACAAAACTTCATTTGTACCTTCTTCTTACATTAAATTAATTTGTCATCGTGATCTGTTTAAAAATTTTTGATATAGTAGTCAGGTCTTAAACATTCACTACCTGAAAAATAAAATTTGAAATTAATATTAATAGTAGAAGTCCCCCCTTTCGGTGTCTTGGTGTTTGAGATGCAATTGTTAATGGTATATTGTAACTTTCTTGTTTGTGTGTAGTCCTGTCTGTCAATCATAAAAAAGATATAAATTATTGAATTAATAAAATTTATAACAAAGATTAAACTTCTTAAAACTGCATCAAATTTCATGATCAAGGTCATCAGGTCAAATATCATAATACAACCCGAGAGGTCTTGACACAAGTAATTCACATGTGAAAAAAATATGAAAAACCTATGAAAATAGGTCTGTTCTGGAACAGACGTTATGGCCAAAGTTAAAATTCTTGATAAGCACATGTAGGTCAAACTTCTAGGTCAAGACCATGAAGTAAAAAAATGATATACCTTTCTGAGAGTGTTGTCATAGGTAATTTGCATGTAAAATAAGAAAACCCTCACGGACCCTATCTTTTCTCATTCAAAAGTTATTACCAATATAAAAAAAATGAAAGACTGTAGCTTAAACTTTAAGGTCATGGTCACGACGTCAGAATCTAGGGTACATTCGGAAAGGTCTATAAACATTTAACGCACATGTAAAATATAAATACCCTTTCTTCTCTAATTCAAAAGTTATCAGCAATATGTAAATTTTTTGAAAATTAGGTCAAACTTCAAGGTCATGGGTAAAAATATCATAGTATATTTGGTAACATCTTCACAGGTAATGCAAATGTTAAATACAAATGCCCCATCTTTTCTCCTTTAAAAGTTAGCAGCGATGATATTTTTTTTTTGAAAATTAGGTCAAACTTGAAGGTCAATGTCACAGGGTAAAATATCATAGTTTATTCAGAAACTTCCTTTCATAGTTGATGCACTTGTCAGATATGAATATCCTATATTCTCTCAATCAAAAGTTATTACATATGTTAAAATTTTTGAAAAATAGGTCAAAATTAAAGGTCAACGGGTAAAAAATCATAGCATGTTCAGATATGTCTTGTCACAGGTTTTACTCATGTAAAATATGAATGCCCTATCTTTATTCATTCAAAAGTTCTATCCAATGTTTAAATTTTGAAAAGTAGGTCTAACTTCAAGTCAAGGTCACGAGGACAAAAATCGTATATTTGGAAAGGTATTGTCGCAGGTAATGTACATGTGAAATATGAAAGCCATATTTTTTCTAATTAAAAAGTTATGACCAAGGTGAAAATAATGTCAAAAGTTTTGAGAACTAGGTCATACTTCAAGGTTACGAGGCCAAAAGACGCTATAAATGTATTTGGAAATGTCTTATCATAGCTAAAGTACATGTGAAATATGAAAGCCCTAGACTATCTCTTCTTATTCAAAAGACCAAGGTTAAAGTTTTTGTGACTCACAGACAGACGAACTGACAGAGAATGAGGTTTAATGTCCTCTCGCTTTCGCGAACTTATGCTCGAAAGTAAACTTTCATTATTTTCAACACGTCTGTGTCATTTGAAATATAGGTGTATGAAGCATACATTTAATGACAGAACGCGCGAGCATAAAAACTGGGCAGATGACGTTTTTGCTTAACTTTTGTGCATATGCTTTTTAAAAATATCAAGATTTAAAAAAAAAAAAATATTTTTTTTAATGTGCCTCAACATTAAATTTTTTTTCAGAGCGCCTTGTCCAAAACTTATACTCTATCAATACTCTATCCACGAGTCTGAATAACAAAAGTTCACATATATAGTGCAATTTTATCCTTATAATCATTGTTTTTCATTTTTTTTTTACAAAAAAGTATGAAGAAATCTTTCTCGATTCCTTATATAAAATCGTGAATGTGTTTAAAATACGCCTTTGTATGCTGATGCTACGTCAGGTTTATCAGAAGTGTTATTACATACTATTATAATAATATTTATTCCAACCAAAGTTAAATGCGACAAAATATTATTAATAGATGGCAATTTCTAACTGAAATCAATGCCCTATGAGTACTCACCCTTTCCTGACTGAGATTTACGGATTTCAGCGTACACGGGGATGTCATTCTCATTTTTCTTTGTCTTGTTGACGACAGCATAGACGTCATTTCCGTTTTCTTTTGTATTTTGTTTAGGGTTTGATTGCGGCATTTCAGTTTCGATGTCGGCAGAGATATAGAGATTATTATCAGTCATATCTACCCCTAGATCTGAAATAATAAGCTTACATGTATAAAACATCTCTAGGAATAAGAAGCAGGTAATTTTGTTTTATATCAAAAAACACCAATAGGCACAAGCCCCCCCCTTTTTTTTTTTTACTTTTTATAGCGTTCTTTCATTACTAATTCTTACATCAAGCTCAACAATCGTAAGATTGATAGAATTAGGTTTCTCATTTTCAATTAACTTTGAACATTTTCATTGCAAATGGTCCAAAGAAAAGAGGAATTGTCATATTCTCCTGAGCAAGCACCAACGCGCTTATTAGCGCCCCTTGTGATTCTAAAATAATAATTGTCCCCTCCTAAACACCTAAACGCCGATTTTTCACACAACAAATACTTTTTTGATAAAATGACTCTCTCGGTCTAATTTCAAACATCTATGTACTTAAAACATGGAATACCTTGATGTTTAAAATAAACGCTTTAGCCTTTATTAACATGCACGCATTCAAGAACAAGTGAAAGATGAAAGAACAATATACGGTATAAGCATTTTTTGCCCCCATGAAAGCCAAATCAAAAAAAAAAAAAATCCTAGAAATGACAAAATTGTATATAATATATGAACAATGTGAACTTACAAAGGATATAGTTTGGAATGAAAAATTGAGATAAGACACAGTATTCAAGCTCAAAATCCATTTAAACAGTACAAATCAGGAGCAGAGGAATCAGAGGTGGGATAAGGTGCCATGTACGAGTAAGCATGGAAGTTGATTATTGGCAATAATTATTGTTGTTAACGTGACGTCACAAACCATATGGATTTTCCGTTTATTTTAGAAAGAGGACAAAATGGACACATTTTATTCAATTTTGACTTTAAAATTTACTAAGCGCAAGCATGCTCCAGATATTCACCTACTAGTATTTCATTGATTTAATAATTTTACACATAATATCAAAAGATTGAGCTGTAGCAGACCTGCGCTCTGTGACTTTTAATCAAAATATTTACGTAAAAAAACATATTAAAAAAACCATATAACCTAGTTGAGCCCTTTTTCTCCAGACATCATTGAAATGTTGAATTTACGTCATCTACTTGACGTCATATCTAACATATAACGTCATCGCTAAATAAAAAAGGTAACGTTTTGAAGTCTGCAGGTGTCCCGCTGTTTAAGTACATAATTATAGACTTCTCCATCAAAGTTTGATTTTTGGCGCAGATATTGGTCATTACAGAATATACAGTCCTTTACTTAAAACTTTGCAGATTATCTTATTCTTAATTGTGTTTAAAAAAAATGAATTAATTTATGACTTTCAGTATATGCAAATTAACATACAGTGTAGCAATTATTCTTGTTGCTTTTACAACTAGCCAAATTCTTAGCTTTCAATTGTTGAATCTTCAAATAACAATTGTTTGCAATACTCCCGAAGATAAAATATTATTTATGGGTAACAACTTTATATCACATTGTTGATTGACTCAAAATATTTCACTCCCTCCTAACTTCAGATTTATCGAAATTAATAAGTGGGTAAGAATCAATTAACCTCTTCATGCACATATATACTAGCGTCCTGCAGTGATAGGGTCATTTACTTACAAAAGTAATCGATTAAATAACAATTGCCTTGGATTTTAAAAATAATCGATTATAAGCTGATTACGGCGACTTATTAGTCTTTTTCATCTGATTACTTTTCCATCATGTATTATGATTACTTGACTCCAGAGACATAAATGTTTCAATTTTTTCCCCTTAACCCTTTTTTGTGTTTAATTTTCATGGTTCACTATCATTATACAAAATTTCATAACGCGCTAACACGCGTTACTCAATTTGTCTGCACATACCGTTGCAGTTATGAGATTATATCTTTCAAAGAATAATGATTCAATGCTTATACATGTATTTACAATTCAACTCCTAGCTTTGACCGCAAATATGGTTCATATTTTAAAATCCCTGTATTATCCTTTGGGTAAGTTATAGTTAATGGAAGAGCCATTGCAACAGCTACTGTTCAATGTGAACGTGAATTTTGATTTTCGCTTATAACTTACATGTAGCACTTCCAGCGTTCAGCGTTTGTGATGTCAAAGTAAAACGCATACTTTAACCTTTTGACCCCCTGTCCGTGTTATAGGTTTCGATTGCCGTAGCTTTCTACACACTTTTTAAGCAAAATACATGTGTAATGTAAATATAGTCTTATGCAAATCAAACAAAGTTGTGATTTTTAGAAAAACACATCACTTAAGTATATTTAAGGAATGTTTTTAAGTTTTGTGTGAATTATTGGTGTGTAAATCACACAGACTTGCACGTAGGCATATTTTTCATGAAGCGCTAGCGCTGTCACAAAACTTAAAAAACATTCCTTAAAGTGACAGTACGGCGCATCTCATCAAAAAACTGACTAGATAAAATTTTCCGACAAGATTTGGAATTTTTTTACTACTCATAAATGTATAAACTTTCAGAAAATTACAACTTTTACAATTAAATAATTTGGATTATTTCATTAAAATTAATAGTTATTTATGGGACGTAAATATATACATCGCAACGTGTTCGGGGTTCCACATTCCATGCTATGCACGCATGCGTAGTTTTCATAAACAAAACAGCATGGTTAGAGAGGGAATCCCGGTAGGCCTGCTACATTGACCAAGTCGACCAAAAAGAAAAAGAAACTGAAAATAGAACTTGAAAAAGCAACTTTCCTGACTAAAATTTAGTTTGGGGATTAATAAAATCGCTGGATAAGGAAGAAACGGGAACTCGGCGACACTCACGCAGGGCTCTCGAAGGTTCTATTCGACAGGTTTGTTGATACTTGTTATCATTTCTCATTTTTCCGTCGCTTTCAAAGAAAAAAAATAGTGTAAACTTAACATTAAAAATACATCTTTGATTTATAAACATTGTTGCCATTTGAAATGCTAATTTTTTTTAACTGTGCAGAAAAATATTTTGTTTGACGTTTGCCGCGATAACGTATGATTAGTTGGTTTTTCCTTTCTCGGACCCCAATACAAAATACGTAAACATTTGTACTTTCAATTCTGTTAAATTCGCCTGAATGCAGACTAAAATCTTTACGATTATTATTTTAGATTATTTTATCAGAAAGTAATGATAATTTGTGTTTTTGAAAATTGCTTTCACCTAATATTCATTATAACTGTAAACTCTACAGTGTAGGCACGTGCCGTTTTAGAATTCACGTGGTACAAATAAACAGATCTAAGATTGCTCCAGTTCATACGACCCTTGATTTTCCGGCAGATTCTAATTACGTTAATTTTGTTTGAGTAGAGAATATTTCTGTTTCTCAAACTGCTTACATCAACTTTATACCTTATTTCTTAATGACATATTGGGTAAATTTGGATGAAATAGCACACATCTTGCAGCCGTACTGTCGCTTTAAATAAAATCAGTTAGATTTATAATCGACCAAGTGTGTAAAAATGATTCATCTTATATTAGAAGTCACATTGACTTGAAACCGAGTTGAATTATTATAATAAGAAGTCAAGATCTCTTTTCAATAAAAATTCTAAAATTATTTCATCTCATCATAGTGGTGCCCTTGAAAAAAATCACAGAGCTAGATATTTTTGTAAGAATTTTGAGATCATTTTATGAGAAAATGATAGACGAATGTGAACAACCAATGAGTAAGGTCACTAACTGGGTTTCTTATATTAAAGTTAAATTATTTGAAATTGGTTTAGGATATATTTGGTCTGACCAAGACAGAATTAGTTGTAACAGCCATTTTTTGATTATAAAGCAAATAATTATTGAACTTTCGTACAGAATCTCCTTGCAGACATCAATAATTAGATGTATGCTATTTAAGAACATTATTGACTACTTAACACTGCAATACTTTTTGGTAAAACCAATTCCTAGCATTTATAAAAAGCAGATATAAGGACTTACGTGTAAAATATATTTTAAAGAATTACTGGGAAAAAACCATCTATGTTTAAATTTATACAATTATTATGTGCACACTTCAACAACCCCAGGACTTCTGTTCTAAGAGAGCCATTGTTTAAAAGCATTGCATTTTTGTTTCTAGATTAAGTCGTAAACTCTCAAGATGCTCAAATTTACCATATTTATTGTTCATTATGTTAATGCTTGTCCACAGTCAGTCAACAATATTTATCATGAATCGACAATTCCTGAATTTATGATGCTATCAAAAATCTTCACATGCGAATACATTGGTCAGGAGAAAATATGAAAGCACACTAGAATAGATGCGCAATTTTGTGTGGTTAAGATATATTACATGTATAAAGAGCCAACGTAGAATCAGTATGAAAATTGCGTGTCTTTAAACAATTTTCCGAATATATATATATATATATATATATATATATATATATATATATATATATATATAATGAAATGACCAGCATTTAAAAGACAATTAAATACAAATTGTTATCATGCTATGATTAGAAATTTAAATACCTTTTTCCTGAGAAGTATCGTTTCTTTAGAGAAAAAGATAAATTGTTTGAATGCTTTGAAACGTAATTTGATATTCCGAAAAAAAAATGTTTCTTCCATAAAACTAATCACAGAAAAGTTTAAAGCAGCTATTTTCTATTAGTATTCGCAATTATTATGACATAAAAATGTAATAAACGAACTTACCTAGACTCTTTTCCTTTGAAAAGAAGTAGGTGGGATAAATATTGAATTTGCTTGATATGTAATTGAACACATATTTGTATTTTGTTCATTTTTAATCATTTATCTATTAATTTGGTATAGATCAATATTTCTCATTTGTTTTATTTATTTATGTTGTTTAATTCCTCACACAAAGTTCTGATCACGGACAGCTACAGAACTGTAAACTTCTAACTGTGGAAAGATAACATAGTAGACTCTACTGTTAATTTTTCAAAGAGTACAGATTGGATATAGCTATAAGAATTTAGTCAGTAATGATTTTTCATGGAATACTCCCTCAAACTAATATTATCCTCACGGATCTGAGCAACAGACCTCTTACAGCAGTTACATAATCTTAATTTCTGAACAGAAAATAAAAATAAAGTACTTTCTACTAAACCATCGACAGATTTTAAACATCAATTACTTACGTGTTTTATTCAGCTTTTGTTTTGACCTCACACAAAGTACTATCACTAGGATTAAAAAGGCAATCAGAAGCAGAACTCCCCCTCCACAAATACCGATTATTAAAAATTTTCCATTATTTTCGACTTCTGTAATTGGAGAAATTTAATTAAAAAAAAGATTTGTAGAGTTAAACATTAGACACATTGAAAACAAACTTGAAAAAGTATCATACTTACATTACTATCCCTTCATTATGACGCCGCCTTGAACGGTTCAGTTATATAGAATTTTCTTGTCCGTTCAACTGTTCTTGGTGTGTTTAAGTGTTGTATGTACGTTTTGTTTTTGTTTTTGTTTTTTTTTTTTGCTACTAGTACTGCAGAGTGTTGAGAATTTGTTTACCTTTGTATGTCCGTACATTCATGAGTAAGAAGTAACTATGGCCGGTGTTTAATTTTTAAAGGTTCAATGAAATTTTTGTTTATTTAAGTAAAACCTGTAGATGGCTGAGAGTACATATATGTTGGTAAACTTTTCCCGAGCATCATGAGATTTGGTGCCGAGCGAAGCGAGGGACCAACTCGAATGGCGAGGGAGAAGTTTAACAACATACATAGTACATGTTTCACACGGGAAATTAATAAACTCTTTGTGTCTCTATCTATTTTAATACAAATCTTTGTGTGTGTCTTGATATTTAAGAGGGCTCTCTACAACGTCACAACATGACGTATTTTCGTTCGAAACCCCATTTTGGTGAACTGATTCTGTCCTAAACAAATTCACTGAACACCGATAAATCACTGGGTATAACACAACTTGCTATACGTACACTAGCTCTATCGTGAATGGAATCTATCCCCTCGAGGCGACGAGAGTGGCCAATGTAGCCTTTCATTAAACATGAATTGTTTGCCAATATATTCAATTTCGAATTATTTATTCACAAACAATATAATTTATTAAAATAAAATATGATTATAAGTAATAAAAAGTTAATATAATAAACCAATGCCTTGTCACCATCTATACTTATAAATTAATAAACTTTGCAAATAAACTCCGAAACGGGTGCACTAGAGTTCTTACTTACTCCTTTAACAATACACTAGATACAAGCTGATGTCCGTAAATTATATTTAGATTTCACTCGCATAGTAAGTATCGTACATTAAATTAAAATTCTACTTTCATTTTCTATAAACAGCCATGGTATAGCTAAAACGTGAGTACGGTAGCGTTTCCGGTTGGTGGATCTAAGTTACTGGCAATTTTTAATGAAACTGACAACAAGCAATCGTTTATTTATTACATTAAACGTCATCACTGAATTATTCAATCAAAACTCGATTTAAATGATATAAAAGAAATAAGTTGTGATAACCGATTAAAAAGGGAAATGTGCAAAATATTTTCGTCAATCACCGATCTTTATATTGATGGAAGCTTCTAGAACATCATATAGCATCGAGCCCGATGTTAAGAAAAAAACGAGGCGATTATAGCTACATGACCATAAAAAAGCTTTTGTGTAAATGGTCATAATTGAAATAATGGTAAATCACTGATAACACTGTAAGTTGTGAATATAATTATATATCGAAAGACTATTACATATACATGTATGTGGTAGGTTTTCCTAATAAATTTATCGGTAAAATTTGTATATATTCCTTACTGAGAGTATCGTGGCAACGAACCCGAAGTACAATTTGTACTTCGTAATAAACTTGCTTACATGAAAAGAGAAAATTAATAAATAAGGTATTGTTCAAATACAATTAAAGATGTAAAATTTTGCGCTTTAATCAATGCACAGTTAATTACTGAATACAATCTTTTATAGCTGCAATAATGTAACCTCTCCTTTTTTGAGAGGGGGGGGGGGGCAGAGAGAGAGAGAGAGGCCAGAAAATATCAGATCAAAAAAAAAAAAAAAAAAAAAAATTGGAAAGGGCTACATTATTGCAGCTTAGTCTTTTGTATCAAATACTCAGCCTATTCATAGGGCGTTAAAAGCTAATTTTTACACAGGTACTTGGTTCTTGGTTTATAAATATGTATGTACCTTATTGATAGGTAAAAAGTAAAGTACATTTTTACATATATCAATAAGGTACAAACATATTTATTAACCAAGATCCAAGTACCTGTGAAATTTTACCCCCCCCCCCCAATCAATTTTTTAGTAAAATGTTCATATTCGTTGCCTTTATCCTTGACGGAAATATAATAAGAGCATCTGAAGTACAATATCTATAACATAGTATAACAGGTTTCACAATAAACGTCAATTAATGAAATTGCTATTTTTCAAGTTTAAAAAAAAATAAAACAATCACAAAAAACGGGGTTGGGGGTTGTTGTTGTTGGATAGGTAAATCTACTTCATGCGGAACAAAGTATTTGTTCCTGCTATAAGCCTGTAGGCTGTCAGTATAGAGAACTACAATATATTTTCTGTCGGTAGGGGTATAAATTCAATTCCCCGCGCTTGCGCGGGATTTCATCTAGTAATATTTGATCATTGCGTGTCAAATCCACTCATACGTTTCCATAAAGTCCTAAATTGATGCTTCTCTACAAAAGCATATGCTTTCCAGCGAAATAGATCCAAAAATGCAAATTTAAACAGATAAAGCATTGTATCACATTCCCATCGCCTAGAGGAGACATCCTGTTCCCAACAAGTATATACCCCGCATGTGTGGTTATACCCGGTGAAATTGAAACTCTTCATGAAATCACCAAAACGCTTCATTAATAAGTGGAATTATATTAACTCAAACGTTTGATCAACATTGATTATCAGCTGTTTTGTATGGAAAATGTGAAGATTTGAAACAAAGTAGGAATTTAGTTATACTTATTTCTTTAACCCGCTTATTTACGTGTCATGTCATCCGTAGCACAGGATAATACATGTACATAAAAGTTGGATGAAAACGGTAAATAAATTTACCTTTCTCAATACTATGAATTCACCTTACATGTCTTTGACCAGAAATGTGTGGGTCTCCGCTTAAATTCATTTAAAAACAATACAATACGAACTTCTTTCGATGTCCTAGTTTGCCATGTACTTATTAATTCTTTTTTTTCCCAATACCTGTGCAAGTTTTAGAAGAATTAGATTAAACATATAAAAACCATTACCAAGATATTTGAGCCCACTCTCTAAACAGATCTTTGACACCTAAATTTTTGCGATGGTTAAAATTTTTGTCAGTTTTTCAATTTCATTCAATTTCTTTTTTTTTCCCCATAATTTTAACCCTTTAATATTGTATTTATTTTCAGATTTTGGAGGAAATCCATCCAGCTCTTCTCATGAAAATGCTGTTTTAGTTTTTCTTTTGTCTTTTATTGTAGATTCAAATAAAAATTATGTAGATTTCATTTATAACTTTGTTGGTTTTCATTTCAAGATTTTATTACATTAAACTTTGAATAGAAAATTAAAGCGTAAGGCTTTTAAAAATAAAGAATTAAGGGGTTTCTACAAAATAAATTTAATATTTTAAATATTTCTAAAAAATAAAGTTAAATACTTTGGAGCTTTATTTTATTGGATATTGAGTCAATTATTAGAAACAAATGCATGAAACAAAAATCATTTATGCTTCATACGTGTAGAGATCCTCCTTAACCAAGATAACGATGGTTTGATCCTGAGTGTTGCCATTTTGTACAGGCCCAGATGTGATAATTATACCCTCAGGGGAGTATATCTACCTGTCCGCAACAGGTAATGTGACGGACTACAGTGAGTATTTTTCAAACACAATAAGATTCATTTTTATAGATTCAAAATCTCTGTATGAAGATATTCATGTTATTTTTAATGGAATCTTGTGGACATAAGAGAAGATTTGTTTTAGAGGTAAACCGGATAAATTGTTCTTGAAAAAGCACAGATTTCCACAGAAAAAGAAAACAGAAAAAAGGGGGAAAATCTATATACGGTCGGATTTTCTCGGCTTACAACAATTACAGGGAACGTTTTTACTCTACTTGAGCAATATAGGACTGTCCCTGTGTATTTGAACATTGCGAAAAATCCAATTTTGACTTCTTGCTGTGTCCTCTTAATCTGTTAATTATAATCAAAGACAAGATGGCGAGTGAACTTTTTTTGCACTTTTTGATGAGATATAATTATACCCCACGCAACAAGTTGCGTGAGGTATAATGTTTTTGACCAGTCCGTCAGTCAGTCAGTCAGTCAGTCAGTCCTTGTGGGTATATTCTAAAGATTCAAATAATTACTAAACCTTTCTTAAAACTCTGTTTTAATTTTGATTTTTTTAAATTTAAATATTTAATGTTTTAAAGTTGGTTAATTCAGAAAGAAAGACAAGGGAAGAAAAAAGATATTTTTTCCTTTATTAAATCTGTAGGTTTCATTGACTATTTAGCACATCAGGTCCAACATTCATTGTTTATTGACCCTGTGTCCATGATTATAACCTGTCATTGATAATGATAGGTTTAATAATTATGCACACAATGGCATAGTCATCCAATCATGAAGCTTGGGCTTGGAGTGTACCAAGTGAATTGGTAGCAGCAAAAACCTTTTGTTCGAGGTGTGAAACATATACTAATCCAAGTTATATGATTTATGGAGAAACTGGACGGTTTCCATTATATATAAATATTTACTCAAGAATGGTAAAATACTGGACAAAACTTGTGTATGGAAAAGAAAACAAATTGTGTAGAATTGTATATATGTATTTACGTAAACAATATGATAAAGGAGAAATGACAAACTCATGGATTTCATTTGTACAAAATATTTTTGACAGATGTGGTTTATCAAATATATGGTATGAGCAATATTTCTATAATGTAGAATGGATAACTGCTACAGTCAAACAAAGATTAAAAGATCAGTATATTCAAAAGTGGAATAGTGAAGTTCAAGAATCTTCAAAAAGTTTAAATTATAGAATTTTTAAAACCAATTTTGAGTGCAAAAAATATTTAACACTGTTATCATGTACATTTACAAAAAACTTTAGTTAAATTTAGAACCACAAACCACCATCTTCCAATTGAGATAGGAAGATGGAATGGTACTCAAAGAAATGAAAGATTTTGTAGCTTATGTGATAGTAATCAGATAGGAGATGAATATCATTATATTTTAGAATGTAGTGCTTTAAACCAACCGAGGAAAATTTTTTTGAACCAAAAATTTTGTTCTAAGCCAAACACTATGAAGTTTTGTGAAGTTATGTGCCAAAATGATGTTGATTCTTTGAAAAAATTATGTACATTTATTACTAAGATTAATAGTATGGTCTGTTCTCCCTAGCTAGCTGAATTAATCTCACCTTTTGCTTGACCCACTGTATTATAGGTATATATGTTTTCTATGTTTATGTACCTCATGTACCATTTACATGGTTTTTGAGTGAATAAATTGAATTGAATTGTTTCCTGAGGACATTTTTGGAGGTAACATCTTAGCTGAAATGTATTAGGTAAACCGATTGTTTTTGGGGGGTTATTGTAGAATTGTAATGTTCTTATACGTTTGTGTATTCAAGATTTTGTTGGACCTGTGATTTATATTTTTATTTGCCCATGAAACACAATTTTCTTTGTTTTAGCAATTAGAATATGTACTTACTTTTTGCAGCAGTAATAGAGTGAGAGTACACCGTGTTGGTACTTGACTGAATCACTGAGACACTGTGTGTAGCTGAAGTGGATGATCCTCTTTCTACAAATTTGAGGAAGTAACATAATATTCTATTTGTATTCTATAACTTATAATGTGTTTTGTACATTTTCTATAAATTGTATTCTATAATTTTCCATTGGTATTCTACCCTAAAAATACGATAGTTAACTATAGTGATAACTTTGACACTATGAAAACTATTAATAGCTAACTAAAGTGATAACTTTGACATTATGAAAACTATACTTAACTATAGTGATAACTTTGATTTAGTAATCACTGGACTATGACAGTAAAGTGATCACTTCTAAAACTTTGTTTTTCTACAGTGATCACTATGAAAACTTTTATTTACTATAGTTATCCCCAAAATATACTATAAATCGTTGTGTATAAGATGATAACTCTATAGATACATCTTGTTTGATATACTTAATGACATTCATATAATGTGCCTTACTAGCATAAGAAGGACAAATTGAATTGAAAGAAAAACATTATTCATTTTAAAAATGCTTCGCCACTTCCAGTTATTGAAAAATAAAGGTTTCAAAAAATGTCAAACTAAAAACAAAATTTATAATATAAATGTATTGCATGCAATGTGCATGGAATTAATGGAAATACAACAGATTTATTTGGTAAAATGAAAAAATCTGCAAAACTGGATAATATGTATGTTGTGAAATTAACTGAGAATTCTATCACAAAAACATTATTTATACTGTAATCATAAATTTTAAACTTTGAATTACTCTAGTTAGTTTCACTTCTGAAACTTTAATTTACCACAGTGGTTACGTTGGCACTTTGATATACTATAGTGATAACTTTGACATTTGATTTACTATTGTACAGTGTAATAATTATGGCACTCTCACTATGTCACAAAAGTGATTACTTTCGTTCACTTTAGGGATAACTTTGAAACTTTGATTTACTGTAGTCATCTATATCTTACTATAGTTTTCTATAACATTTTATGTTAGGATATATTCGTTATTTATTTTAAATACTCTAGTAATTTCCATTAATTATTTTTGTACGTTAATCCCATTTGTATGCGATAACGATACTGGTATTTGTATTATATCATAAAATTCTGGGATATATTTTTTAATTTATTTTTTTTTGTCACGGTAGATTTTGCATATACATGCATTGAATATTTTCAATAGCATCAAAACATATGACTTTTAACACTTTATACATACATAACCATTTCTCAAGATAAATTAAAGAGCAGGGTTTTTGACATCCTAGACAATTGCTTTCACGATGAAAATTAAGCCCGTAAATCTTCATATTTTTGTGATTGGTCATCTACAAAATTACTTTGTTCAAAATCATCCTAATTCTACATACAAGTATTCTGAAGTTGATATTAAAAAGATGCTGGAGTTCCTCCATGGCAAGATCATTTACATGTAGTCTTTAGAGATCAGGGGGCCGTTTCATCAAAAGTCGTAAATTTAAGACCTAACTTAGGTGTACTTCCGGGGCTTACGCCAAAATTTAGTCGGGCGTAACACGAAGTAGCGTAAGACTAGTCGTAAACAATACGCTTAGTCTCAGGACTAAGTCCTTGACAACGCTGCATTGCACATGCGCAAAAAAAAACATAAGCATACGTACATGTATTGTGTACAAAGCAGCATACAGTGTTGTTCTACATACATTGTACACAATACGGTCACATATGCTTAAATGAAAAATTACATTAATTTTTAGGGACCTTGAAGAAAACATGCATCTTAAATCTACTTATTATAAAATATTAACTACTTACAACATAAGGTCTGAAAAAAGAAATAAATGTTCTTGTAAATGTATTTATTTTGGAATATTTGCATCTCTCCGCCTCACCCCCCTCGATTTGATACAGGAAGAGAGAGAGAGAATCCGTTACAATTGAATATACTTGTAAATATATGTAATTGGGCATATGACTTGTCGTAATAAATTACTGAATCGATAAAATAACACAAAATATGCATCATCAGGAAAAAATAAAGACTTTTATCCCTATTTCTTCTATGACATTACCTTGTACGCCATTCCCTTTGTTCCTAAAAATTTAAGTATTTATTTTTTAAAATGCGGATTCTTTTTATTTTTCCCGATAAAGAAAGGCATGTACCATCAATATTCATTTTGAATTTTCAGAAATTTGTCATTCATTGTTTCAATATTAATATATTGTCATACATAGGCGTAATAATTGTAATATTACAGTCACTTTTGAGTCAAGTTTCTTTGACAGCTGATTCTCAGAATCTACCGAATGGCTTTGTTGCCCAGGTAAAAATCCTTTCCAATTTGTATTCAATATCAGGAAAAATTGACTTTCAAGTATATTTACGTAATCAACTGATATTTTTTTCGTCTTTTGAATGTTAACAACTTTTTCTGGACGCAGGTGCGGGCCCGTGATTTTTTTTCAAAGGAGAGGAGGGAGGGGGCAGAGTCATCAGTAAACAAACAAGGGGCCCAAGGGCCTTAACGGTCACCTGAGTATGATACAATAATTTGCATTATGCATAGAGTATAAAATGAACTGAATGTTGAAGCTTTGTTGCCCAAAAGAAAAAAAAATAGGGTGATCATGATCAACAAAATAATTGGTCTTAATATTCATTAACAGTTCATAAATTAGATTCTAAACTGTTCCCCATTTATCACTATCACCATACAGTATATTAATAAATTATCAATGCTTCTGTACTATTTTAATCCCTTGTTGAAGTCTCTTACATTGGCCTCTCTTGGTCTTTGATGAACATTTAATAAGACAAGTTATTTTTGTCTCATTTTTATTTATCCACTACTTACAAGTCTATCTGATCATTAAAACAATGAAAGTACTTTTTGTATTATACAATAAAAGTTTTTGCATAATTCTCTTATTCTATTTACCTTTCAAGTACATTATTTACAGTGATAAATTATCAAAAGTAAATGGCAAAGGGGAATAACTTCTCTCAGTAGAATACAAACTAATAGAGCCCTGGCCAGGAGCAGAACACTTGACCGAATGGTCCAGATGTTCAAAAATCTGGTAAAAATTCCCTTCCTTATAAAAATTTTTACTCTATTTGCCTCAGATATGCCCAGGTGCGGAGAAGATTATTAAAGAAATAATGCATTTTTACTACAGATTCAATATATTATCAATAGAGCCCCCCCCCCCCCCCAACACCAGAGCTTCTGACCCTGGGACCATAAGTTTGCTCATCATAACTAATCACTTTGTTTATCTGCTTAACACTAAGGAGCAAACAGGATTATTTAATAGAATTAATGCATTTTCTCTATATTATCAATAGCCCCACCCTCACACCAGCACATCTGACCCGGGGGTCATGAAATTCACTACTCTGAAAGAAGCTCTCCTGCTCACCATAACTATACACTTAGCTTTTTTGCTTTTTTAACCAAAAACAGAAAAGAATATTTTCAAAGAAATTATGCTTTTTCACTTTATAATCAATAGAAGCCCCCCCCCTCTCACCAGAACCTTTAAACCTGGGGTCATAAAATTCACAATTTTGGAAGAGGCATCCTTGCGTACCATAACAATGTACTTAGTCTGTTTAAACAATACCCAGGGACAGAGAAGAAGATTTTCAAAGGAATAATTCACCTTCACTATAGGATCTATATAGCCCCGCCCTAGCACCAGAACTCCTGTCCCCAGGACCATGAATTTCACAATTTTGGAAGAGGCATCCTTGCTCATCATAACAATGTACTTAGTTTGTTTAAATAATACCCAGGTGCAGAGAAAAAGATTTTTAAAGAATTCAAACATTTTCACTTTATTATCAATAGAGCCCCGCCCTAACACCAGAACCCCTGATCTAGGGGCCACGGATTTCACAATTTTGGAAGAGGCATCCTTGATTATCTTAACTATGTATTTAATGTGTTTCAATAATACTCAGGAGTAGAGAAGAAGATTTTCAATGAATTATTGCATTTTCACTATATAATCAATAGAGCCCCACCCTAACACCAGAACACCTGATCTAGGGGCAATGAAATTCACAATTTTGGAAGAGGCACTCTTGCTCTTCATAACTATGTACTTAGTTACTGAATTTAATACCAAGGAGCAGAGAAGAAGATTTTCAATGAATTAATGCATTTTCACTATATAATCAATAGAGCCCCACCCTAACACCAGAATCCCTGACCCTGGGGCCATGAATTTCACAATTTTGGAAGAGGCACTCTTGCTCATCATAACTATATACTTAGTTAGTTTATTTAATACCCAAGGGCAGAGAAGAAGATTTTCAAAGAATAATGCACTTTCACTATATGATCTATATAGCCCCGCCCTAGCACCAGAACCCTGACCCTGGGGCCATGAATTTCACAATTTTGGTAGAGGACTCAATGCGTATTACAATGATGCCAACAGTTTGACTGCTTGATGTCCAGGAGTAAAGAAGAAGATTTTTAAAGATTGCATTAATTTTGGTGGTTTTAGCCCCACCTCTCAGGCCCCAGGGGGGCAGGGACCATGAAATTCACAATTTTGTTCCCCTTCACCCATAGATGCTATATGCCAAATTTGGTTGAAATTGATTGAGCGGTTTTAGAGAAGAAGCTAAAAATGTTCAAATGTTAACGCACATCGCACGACGCACGCCGACGGACAAAAACGGATAGCAATAGGTCACCTGAGTGACTCAGGTGACCTAAAAATCCATCGAGAAACTTGTTGACAGGCTAAAAATCGTAATTTTCTTTCCAAAACCTGAAAATCATATTGCGGGGGGGGGGGGTCCTTCCCTTCAGTTCCTAAATTTTATAAAATTAATATGGTTCTTCCTACTGACGTACTATACCAGGGTTTTAGATTTGTACGTACATAAATAACTCCGCAAATTGCCGCGAAGAGGACTGGACCCTCCCTAACCCCCCTCTAGATCCACGCGTGTAAACATGGAGTAAATAAGATATGGAGTTTTCGAGCACGATAATTCTTTTGAAAAGCCCACTTGGTTTTACGATGAGTTAATAATTTTTTCTTTAAATATAGATATTAACTAAAGTATGCAAAGCTAAAGAAAATAACTGTGCTTTTGAGGAAAAATTACCCCCCCCCCAAAAAAAAAATATGTTGGGAAAAATAGCTTTTTTTCAAAATAAACATTTTTATTAGGTTTCTTTTCAGTGAATGACACAAAATGTATACCATGTAGTGGATTTACAATACATCCTCATACTCAAAATACAACAATCAAACGTGTATAATTGCAGGATTGTCAAAACTTAAGAGATGGTGCTCAAATGAATCCCTAATAAGGCAATCTTTTATGAAGAAATTTATTAAAGTAAGTCATGTAAATACTGCATGTCAACTACCTTCCCGAGTGGGTGTACCACCCTCCCCAATTTTCGCTCCCCCAAATCTTCATAGTTTGTGATATTAAATTATGCGTCGTTTGTATTAAAAAGACTTCTTAGAACCGCAATTCTTCTTAAAGAATGGCTAAATCGTTTTCAAATCAGTAAAGTCGCTTTATTTTATGTTTACGTCCGAACTTACGCCTACCCATGAGTAGACGTAAAATTGTGGCCTAACTTTAGCCCGGTGTAAAGATACGCTATTTAATAAAACGCAAATCTTCGTGCTAGTCCCGACTTAACGCCGGCGTAGCGTTACGACTGGGCGTACAACCTTTGATGAAACGGGCCCCAGGTCTTCCAACAATCTGTTGGAATTCCAATGGGCACTTATTATGCCCCGTTATTACTTGACCTGTTCTTATATTTCACATGAGAAGATAAAACTCTTTTTATGGCCGTCAACTCATCATTTAGATATATCGACGATGTTTTATCAAAGAACGATAGTTTCTTTCATTCATATGTCGACTAATATATCCCAGTGAACACGAAATAGAGGACACCTCAGAGTCTACTTTTTAATAATTGGATGTTTCACTGACTATAGACGATAATGACCGACTAATAATTAAACTGTTTGACAAATAAGATGACTTTAGCTTTACAATTGTCGACTTCCCTTACTACCGTCTTCCTTGGAAGAATGTATACAGACGAGAAGTATTTTACAGTCTTCGGTCTTTGCACTTCTTTTCTTTTGTGATTGGTAGAAAGTGCATGATGTGAAAAATTTCAATTATTTCATTGGTTAAAATTTCATTCAAGGCAAGTTTTTTTTGGTTGTCTAATTTTACGACTTAACAGTTTTTCCAAGTTTTTCCATCTTAAAAAAATCGTCAAAACGATCAAAAGAAAATTGCAATAACTGAAACACATACACATTAATATTCATAGCAACTACATGTATTAAAAACTATGTTTCTATATTTTCATTTTATCAGAAATTGCATGCAAACATTCATTTTGTGTTTATTCCCGAAGGCTGAAGGGCTTGGTGAATATTGTAATTCGATGTGGCTAAATCATCGTATTGACCTCAAAAATAACAAATAATTGTTTTATTATATGAAATAAAAAAGGAACATAATTGACAATTTTCCTTAAAAAAATTTTGACTGGCGTCCCCCCCCCCCTCCCCTTCCAAAAAGAGGAGAAGTCCCCAAACTCTACATTTTATTTCTGAAAGGGGGTGGGCAATCAGCCTTTCAAAGAACATTTTCGTACCAAATTATAAGTAAAAAATTATGTTTGAAAAAAGTGTGGAAGAGGGCAGGTCCCCTGCACCACACCCTCGCCCTTTCACCCCATTCCATGTGCCTGAATGTTATGTTCACTTGAGTGGAAGTCGGGTGCAAGTGAAATAACTTTCTATAACTATTTGTTTCAATCTGGAATTTCTCAATCTATGTTTTAATCCAATGTAGGAAAAATAAAGCTCTTTGTTTACCTGAAAGGTCACGTGCAGGTGAACATTATACATTTATTGACTGGGTTCGAGGGCAACATGCGTTTTGTCGGACCCAATAACCCAAACTGTTTGCCTGAGGCCATAAGAGGGGTCGACAAAACGCATTTTGCCCGAGAACACAGTCAATAAATGTTTTGTTATACCTTTTACTTTTTATTTTGACATAACATGAAGTAAATTTTGTTTACCCGCACTGCGGTTTAAACTTGGTCAATTCCGTAAAGTTCTGTCGAACTCCAACGAATGCAAATAAGATATAGCTGACCCCGCCCATACTGTGACGTAAGCGGTCCAACATCTCATCGACATCTCGCTCTGCGGTCAAACATCGATTTTTTATGACCCCTCAGTAAAACATTGGAAATGTTAGACTTTTTTAAGTATAGAATTACATAGGAAAGAATTTTTAAAGGTATAACAAAACGTAGTATTTTTCTACAATGTTGGATCTCAGCCAATCAGACAGTAAGGAATTTTTCAATCATATAATAATATATATTGTTTTCGGAAACTTTATTGTATTATGAAAATAAAACTACTTGTACCTTGGATAATAACTGTAATTGGATTGCTATATCCATAAAAATCCATGCGATACAGTGGTACTTCAACATAACATCTGTAAATATTCTTCCCCTTTTTAGCTTTATTCACAAGGAAATTTTTTCCTTCTATGGCATGTTCCTGATTAATGGCACCATTTATATACTGAATCCACTTATATTTGCAGGTCAAATGCAAGCAGTTAGATTCACAGCGTATATTTTCTTTTGGTTGTTCTCCAATGTCGAAGGAAAATGTGCTCGCATTTGGCGTAATATTCACCTCAAACTCTGAAGAAGAGATTGCAAACTTACTATATACACAATTATGATTTATTTGTTATGGTGACTTGTGTAATACAACAAATATGTAAATTTGTATCGTAAATATGATAAAACAAATTTTACATAATACATACAGCCCACGGGGCTTAAAGTTAAATGGATTTAAAGAAAATATTTTTGCCTCATGGACTACATAAATGTAATTATTAAAAAAACGCGTTGAAGCTTAAATTTGGGAATTTAAATTTGTGTCTTAATGAGCCCCCCCCCCCCCCAGTCATATCAAGATGGTGTGATGTACGAAATAACCAATCAAATAACCACACCAGTGTTTGTTTGTGTTTTTTTTCAACCGACATTAAAGTTCTAAAATTGCAACCTCCTAGTCCTAAGGAACCTTTGCATTGTAGAAGGGCGTAAACCCCCTCCCCCAAATAAATCATATATAAATAAATGTATACTAAATGTACAATAGAAATCTATCTATTTCGCGGTTGTGCTCCTTTAACAATAATGTTTGATCATGATCTTTTTTTCTTGATCAACAACTTTTGATACGTATATTTTATGTATAAACTGTAATGCCTGTATGTTCAAAAGTAAATTACACTGCATTTTGTAATGTTCAGAGGTTGTAGATGGTGCTACAAACTGTTCTGTAAAGAATCATTGCCTCAAAGGAAAAAAAAATATTACCTGCCATAAGAAAATTAAAGGATATCAAAGAAATGCAAAGCGTTAAATAGTTAGCTAGGGCTTCATCTGGAAGGCGAATTAAAAACATGACAGTGGATGATGTACTGAAGGCAATAGAGGATTTTTAAGGAGAAAATTGATTTGAAATTCTGAAATTAACAGGTATTATAATAATACAATTAGGTTATATATAACCAAATAGGTTAAATATAAATCATACATATGATATATATAAATGGTGCCTATTTTGGTGGGTAACAGTTGAAATTGACACCCCAAGGAAACCATTGTCAACCGACGCGTCAGCGGAGGTTGACAAGTGTTCCGAGGGGTATCAATTTCAACTGTTACCCTCCAAATCAGGCACCATTTATTTTATTATATCGAATGTCTTATTGATTTAGGATGTCAGCACAAAAATTCGTCGATCATCTGTACGTTCACGTTTAGAAAGCTTTTAATCTCCCAGTTTCTATTTTTCTCAGTAAGAAAGCTTCGAAAAAGATTTATCGACCTGTTTATTGTGTGTTTGATACTCAAAAAGTCCTTTATCATTTAAAGTTTCGTTATTTCTGCACTCGCAAGCATGTTTCGTCTGTCGTTTGTTGTTTTCAAGTGTAACGTGTTGAGGGGTCCGTACCTGGTTGATCCGAGGATCTCGATTTTGGATTAATAAAATAACAAATAATTTTCCTCTTAAAAATGATTATTTAAAATGATTGGCCTGCAAATATATAAAGATATGGCCCTTCCCTTACTTAGGGGAAAATCACACTTGAAGGTCGGCCTTATATTGACAAAAGAAAGTGGAGGTTCGCAAATGCCACCGGACAGACACCAGTTATTCCCTATTTTAGGCTCGAAGGGTCTGTCACGATGCTAACCTACAACTAGTGGTCAGCCTCCGACAACAGAAGATATAAAGAGTTGTCCTTATTCAGGACGTACAGTCATCCACTGCTATCAGAGACTTACACTTACTAGGAATGTTACCAGGCAGGCCTCTGAGGGGTTGACCTCCCTCTATGGTCGGCCTCTAAATGGTTAGTCATGCAATTCTACTTATTTGTTGTGACAAGCCTTCGCCTCAGGCAATCTACCTAGTATTGATAAAATAATCGTGGCAAGCCTCAATATCAGGCAATCCACCCAACAAACCGTATCTCCGAACGAACCGTCTTCTTGTCTCTGCTGCCTGGATTCAAAAGAACCTCGCAGCTTAGCTGCGCTTGTTTAAGATCACGTGATTTGCTTCAGCCACTAACAGATCATCAAAGGCCGACTTGCATATCCGGTATACACAAAGCTCTACATCGCTACACAAGTAAGCTACATGGACGCAAGCTTTTATTGATGTCAAGTTTATTCGGCTTTTTTCAAGCGCACAACGGACGTTTTGAGAATTCTACGGTGAAACGTACGCGCATGATATGCACGCATTTAACATTTTCGTTGTGTTATCCATTGTCAAGCGTGTTGCTAATTCTGAAGGTAACATTATACATTTATTGACTGGGTTCGAGTGCAACATGCGTTTTGTCGGACCCAAGAACCCAAACAGTTTGCCTGAGGCCGTTAGGCCATAGGCAAACAGTTTGGTTCCCAGGGGTCGATAAACGCATTTTGCCCGAGAACACAGTCAATAAATGTTTTGTTATACCTTTTATTTATTTATTTTATTTTATTTTTTTGACATACATGTATGTCGAACACCAACGAATGCAAATGAGATTTAGCTGACCCCGCCCATTAAGTGACGTAAGCGGTCCAACATCTCATCGACAGGTCCAATCTCACTCCGCGGTCAAACATCGATTTTTTTTACACCCGCTCAGTAAAACATTGGAAATGTTAGACTTTTATTTGTATTGATTTAAATAGGAACACATTTTTAAAGGTATAACAATACGGATTGTTAACTGCGTCTAAACCAATCAGATTATAGTATTTAACATGAAAGTATAATAAAATATAATAGCTCTAAATGACTGAAAAGGTGGAGACGAGTAATGACAACTTTTTAAATTCAATTTATTAATTTTTAAGTAATAATGAAGGACGCTAGTGGTGAGGACTCTACTTGACTACTGTAGCATTTTTGCATATTGCACACTTACGAAAAGAGGCAACCGGAAGGACAGACTTGGGCCACTCTTCAGTTTACCGCTGCAGATGCATGGATTAATGAATGGACGACTTTAACTGTTATATTTTTCATTACAAGGAAATTGAAATTAATTGAATGTACTCTGTTTTCTTCCAAAAAGTTTTAAGTGAAATTCTGAACAATTTTACAAGTTGGTAAGATTTCTAGGTAACACAGTTCCATACACTAAACACATGCATTTTAGGATTCAAATGATGGAAAAGGTAGGAAACTGTAAGATTCAACACCTGATGTTAAGGACAAGGATGGTACACAGATTCAGCAGATTAAGGATAAGATTTATGTTCTCTGTACCCAGTCGTAGACCAGTAAGGCATTGATTTTATTATTGAGTTTAGATAAATTATCTAGGTTAGCTAAGAAAATGGACCACAAGAACATGGATGTGTTTGAAGAACTGTATAGACAATAAAGTACAGATAGTATAGATACAGTAAAATCACCCTGTACTCTCCATTGCCCATGTGTCCGTTGGAATTTCCTCCAATTCATATATGTCTCAAATGGGGGTATAGGTCAGTCAGACCTTAAGGTATGGGCCTTATAAGAGACAGAACAGAACACAGGCAGGGGTACATGCTTATTTTGTGAATCATTATGTAAGAGATTGTGAGCTCGCTCATGGAACAAGCAAGAATAAAGTAGGAATACCCAATGGAAAGTATGGGTTACTATTAGTCAGATATATTATATAGGGTTTCGAAGGTTCGTTGCGTATCTATTTTCATTCAATATTTACAAGTATGTTGGTTTTGAATTTTCTATATTTATTTTAAATTGCAATAATCATTGTGAACAAGTTACTTTCATCTACAGGATGGTGAAAAAGTGCGTAAATTGGTGGCCATTTTGAATTTTGTGTGTAACCAAATCAAGGTAATTATAAATACCTACTTACCTTTCTGCTGAGTTGTTTTTTTTCTTTTTATTTTGTAATATGCCCCTTTAATCTGATAACCAACTGCAGACGTCGAAGAATTGATGATTATAAGTTCTGTATGTACATTAAAGGGATTGATAGCCAAGCATACTGAAGTACTTTCAGATAATCTTTTAACTTGATCTTTTCAGGTAAGCCAAATATTTTCAGTAATATTGATATCACGAGATATTGCATTGGAATGTTGTTATTTTCTTTCCAGGCTTTAGTCATTCTTGAGACATGAGGTGGAGCGTTGTCATCCTGAAACATGTATATGATTCGATTGTGAAATATTTGGCTGAGACTGGCCACAGGTTCTCATCTAACACGTTTATGTATTTCTTACTGTCCATGTTTCCACCTATGAAAGTTAATAATTCCTGACCATGGTATGTAATGCAATCCCACACCATTACTTTCAAATTCCTGCCAGTATGCAGGCCTCTAAGTGGCCTCTAAAATTTAGGCGCTATATAGCTAGCTGGAGCCTTATCAAAGAAATTTAGTCGCCAATGCAAATTTTTAGTCGCCAGACAATGTTTTTTTTAATTTTAAGGCGCCAACTTTAAAAGCTACATGTAGTAGTAATCAATATAGAGACCATTGACGTGACTAAGAAAACACATGTCCATTGCTAAAAATAATTTCCTCTTCTTTTAAATTTCTTTTCGCTTTTTCAGAAAAATTGTTAAAAATGTTAAAATTTCTGGAATCCGACGATCGCCAAGTCAATTTAAAATGGTCGCCAATTTGGCGACTTATGGAAAATTTTTAGGCGCCAATAAAGTTTTTTAGGCGCCATGGCGACTAAATTAGTCGCCAAATAGAGCCCTGCAGTATGGTACTTCAAAAGTGGTCAATGCACTCAGGAAGGTTCTTCTCCCGTTTTGTTCTCTAGACTTTAACAACCCAATAACCACTCACAGTTACTGCCATTTCATCATAAATATGATATTACTCCAGTTTTGAGCCATGTTAACTTACTTCTGGCCCAAGAAACTCGACGTACTCTATTTATTTGTTTGACTCCCAACTTCTTTGCGATAGCTCGCTTTCTCAGGTCATACTTATGAATGTATCTGTGAATCTCGTCCTTTCTGACACAGATACATGGTTATAAATATTGGATTCATTAGTGATATCTACCAGATTTGATGTCCCAATTCCCAAGAATTATGCGATTAAGTGTCCGACAACTCCAATTGTCCATTTTTTTTTTAGGTCGTCCTGATCGGTGGCGATTTTCAATAGAGTCGCTGTCCTGATACCACTTCAAAAACCTACAGAATGTTGCTGGACTTATTTTCAATACTTAAGATATTTCACTTTGTTTGAAACCGCTGTCCAATGACTCCAAAATAATTATTTTTGTCTCATCTGTCATTTCCTGTCGTTTAGTATCCATTGTAAACTAATGGCGCGCATGTACTTCGAGCTGACACAGTCGTACCAAATATCATTCTTATACATAACAACAACAACTTTTGACTCTAAGTATGTACTGAATACTCTATTTGTATAGATGTGACTTCGGCAATCAAAATTCGAAATGGCGGAAAATTTACTCACTTTTGTCACCATCCTGAATTTTCGTGAATATGGGGTTGTAAATACAGATTTTCATCACTTTAAAGGAGATGAGTATACAAGGCGTGCAGAATACCTATAACTTCAGATATGTAAAAATAATATTCATTTTGTGAATTTAGTATTTAGAGCAAAGTTCTCATTATTGAAATGTATGAAATCATGATAAACAAAACGTTTCTGAGGAAAATTTTCTAAGCAAAAATTATTCTATTATTAAAAAATAATGTGGTATTCGTGGGGTTTGAGCCCTAGCAAAAAAAAAAAAAAAAAAAAAAAAAAAAAAAAAAAAAAAAAAAAAAAAAAACAGTATCATTTTCCTTTGAGACTAACACGCTAACTTCTACGCTACACAGCTCCTAATGAAAAGTGCCATTTAAATTGTCTGTGATATGACCCTTGACTAAATGGACTTCAAGTATTTCTTGGAAAGATGCGAATGTTGTGTCAAAAAAGTGTTGTTGTTTTTTTCAGGTAGAGTGGGTCTTAGCTCCATGTTTTTGTTAACCAAAAAATGTATATTTTTACGCATACTTTGAGAATAAACTTTCAAAAAAAATGGTGTGAAGACCCACTCATATAGATAAATTGTGTAATAGTACATGTATGAGAAAGTGATTCTTTTTGCCCTCTTAGTGTGTGTATTCTATTTTATAGGGATATAATTTCAATCTTTGTGAGATTTTTTTCAAATTGTGGAGATTTTACATAAAGTAAACTTTGATGTTAGATGAAATATTAAAGAAAATTTTGTTATAATTGAGATTTAATTTTTCACCTTGATGTTTGTCGCACTATAGGCTCTTCGCTTGCCTTATTCCCTTTCCACTTACGCATTCTGTGCTAAAATGTGGATGTGGTAGTTTGAATATTCTGAAAGAATGTAAGTTATAGAATGTCCGACATTGTGATCTGAAGACGACCTAGTCTTAGTGGATTTATTTACATACGTGAGGGAGTCCCATCACCCGTAATAACTCCAATGTTGGAATCCTTGTTGACTGATCATTATTTTGTTATAATTTACGGGAGGAGGTAGGTTGTAAATATGCATTCATTAATTCAGGAGTACAAAATGGGCGGAAGGACTCTTAAGAATACATTATGAGTGACATTGGGCGGTAAGACTCTTTCATTTCTAACCAAACATCCCATAACTGAATCTGTTCTTCAAGAACCTAATTTTAGCAAAATGAAATATGAAGATAACGAACAGAAATCAAATTGGGAGCAGAGCAAACATGCACTTCTAAATACATCAGAAGAGGGATCAGGTGCCATGGAGGAGTAAGGATCCCCTGTCGACCGATCACATCCGCAATGTGCTCCTTGTCATGATCGCACAATTCAGTGTAAAATGAATGGCCTAAAAATAAGTACTAAAAACGCAAGTCAAATTTCGAGTTTATGATCGATTGTACCTGGTAACAAGGTCATTGCATGGACCATTTGCGAAATATTGACTTTCAAAGAGACTGTTGTTATCCTTGTATCATCAACTTATAACTTATATATTGTCTGATGATAAAAAAATACACGTCTTTAAGTTCAGAGTGATAAGAGAGTCCCTTTGTTAGGCAAGGAAGTAGATAAGGAGGATTTGCGGGCAAGAATAAGTAGCCACTAGGTCAGTGAAAAGCGGAATACATTGCCCTGGACTAACTTCTATGGTCGCTTTGAATGATCTTGCATATCTTTAATTCTTTATATATATATATATATATATATATATATATATATATATATATATATATATATATATATATATATATATATATATATATATATATATATATATATATATATATATATAAAATACCTAACAAGAGCAGGATCCTTTATATGCAAAAGTTCCAATGTAATACAATGTATATATTCAAATCTGTTGAAATTGTGGCTCCTTGGGCATTGGGATGGGCTTAAAGTGATTCACCTCCACCCGACCTTCGGGTACATGATCTGAACAATGTTTGATTTACACTTTTTAAGGATGCTCCCATCTATTTAGCCCTGTGTTCTTGAGAATTTTTTTTTTTAAAGATACCATCATATTTTTGCTATTTCCTAATCATCTCACCTTAGAAGAGGGTGTATTCCTTCATTTCCCTTTCAGCCGTGGATGCTTTGTGATAAGTATAGTTGACATTGGTCCATAAGTTCTAGAGAAGTATTCGAAAATGGAAAAAGTTTACAGACTCTTCTTCTATTTATGAATTACTTTTCTGTCTAAAGATGACTTCCCCATTTGCAAACTCGTTTATCTCGTAAAAACTACATAATATCTCGTGAAAACGACTTATTTTCTCGTTTTCACGACATATAATGTCGTAAAAACGAGATATCTCGTGAAAACGACATATTATCTTGTGAAAACGATATATTATCTCGTGAAAACGATATATTATCTCGTGAAAACGAGAAATTATCTCGTGAAAATGAGATATTATCTTGTGTGAATTAAATTTTAGAAAATCATATTATTTCCCAAAATTGCTTATTTTTGCCCTACGGAAGCCCATTTAGGACCTACCAAAAAATAATTTTGAATTCGAAGTAACGAATTGACGAATTTGTTGTAACGAATTTTTATTTGTTATAGCAATTTCTTTGAATTCGTTATAACGAATTTAATCTGTTATAACATATTTATTGAAGTCGTCATAACGAATTCAAAAATCTGATATAACAAATTAAATTCCCTTAACGAATTCTGAATTCGGGGTCTATAAAAATATATATGAATTCGATATAACGATTTGTTGAATTCGTTTTAACGAATTTAATTTGTTATAACAAAATAAGGAATTTGCTTAACGAATTCTAAAATTTGTTATAACAAATGTTCTAAAATTTGTTTTAACGAATTAAATTCGTTTAATCAAATTCAATAATCGGGGCCTATAGAAAAATATATATGAATTCGATATAACGATATGTCGAATTCGTTTTTAACGAATTTAATTTGTTATAACAAATTAAGGAATTCGTTTTAACGAATTTAATTCGTTATAACAAGTTTTAGAATTCGTTATAACAAATTTAATTCGTTATAACAAATTCTTGAATTCGTTATAACGAATTCAACAAATTTGTTATAACAGATTGAATTCGTTAAAACAAATTTGAAGAAATTGTTATTACAAATTAAATTCGTTATAACAAATTCAACAATCCGTTATATTGAATTCAAAAAAAATTTTGATAGGTCCTAAATGGGCTTCCGTATTCCCCAATTTCACTTATATACTTAATATATATGGACCACGCTTTCTTTCATAACCATATAGTTTTCTGCAGATTTGAGACACTGTTTCTACTGGTATATTGTATTGTGAGCTACATCAATTCAATGTATTTGGCTAAAGTCAAGATTTTTTTTTAATTAAATCTCCTTCTGACAAGACAATGTGCTATCCTGAAATACTTATTATTGCCTATTCAAATCTATTTGTCAGCGATTGAGATAGATGACAATAAATATGTTAATATAATATATATTACTAAATCAAAGTTGCAATGAGCATATCCTTAGTTACATTATAGGCTAATTATATATTATATTGTATCACCCTGTGCAATTTAAACCAAAATTTCCCCTATAACTGAGATCAAGTTTGAGTTTCATTTCCTGTTGACCAAATTAAAAAGAGTTATGACCATATTTGCCATTTTTTTCAAACTGTTAAATTTACATAACATATATATTTGCTGAGTATCAAGGTTGGTTGGGATCTAGACTCCTTAATGCGACATTTTTTGATCTAGGAGCTGTAGTTTTTGTATTCTGAAATTTCTGAATATTTTCTTAATGATCTCTGAAACCAAGATGAAAGCATTCCTTAATGACATCCTCTCTTGTACACTCTTCATCCATGATTTGACAACAAATAGAAAAATACTAATTCAGGTTGTTTCATGTATGTAACAAAATTTAAAGTCGGAATAAAATACGTCGTTTTCACGAGAAAATATCTCGTTTTCACGAGAAAATAAGTCGTTTTCATTAGAAATTTTTTTTTAACGAGATAATAAGTCATTTTCACGAGATAATATGTCGTTTTCACGAGATAATAAGTCGTTTTCACGAGATAATATGTCGTTTTCACGAGATAATGTCGTTTTCACCAGATAATAAGTCGTTTTCACGAGGTAATATGTCGTTTTCACGAGATGATATTATCGTTTTCACTAGAAAATAAGTCGTTTTCACGAGATTACATTTCGTGAAAACGAAATATTATATCGTGAAAACGAGATATTATACATTTCGAATAATAGTTGGTATATACATTTCTCGCACGTTTTCACCGGATAATATGTCGTTTTCACGACATAATATGTCGTTTTCACGAGTTAATACTAGTAGGTCGTTTTCACGACATAATATCTCATTTTCACGAGATAATTTTTTTCCTGGTGTCTTAAAAAAATAATTACGTGTCCTAAATGTACCACCGTAAGGATTAAAAATTTATTTCCAGGAAAAGATTCATCGAGTTAAAACATCTAGCATTCAATCCTTTTGTATACGATACATGATGAAGTCGAAAAAGTATTCGTATGTTTAAATCAAACACATATAAGACAACTCACCTAAATGAATTTGCGTCCTTGTTTCAATGACTACGTTTTATACATGATTTTGCCAAGACCTTTTATTGTACAATCTCCCGCTTACTACAGAAGTTAATTTGATGGTAAAAATATAAATGTTATGGTATCTTCTTCCTATCTTTGTGACAATAAGTGTCATTTGTTTTGGGTAACATGTACTAGATTAATTAAGGTGTCTATTTATTTTAGGGTCACGTTGTTTTTGAAGTCAAGATCGAATTTTCGCGAGTCCCTACTTGTACTGTGGACACGACATGTAGGGTACTGGGCTTGACCATTTAGTTTGATCTGTTTCGTTACCTGTAATGAACTGGGGCTAATTCTCATTACTTGATCATCAGAGCGGAAAATTATCCTGACTTCGAGATAACGCATGTGATTTTAATGAATGGGTACACAATTTTACTTCGAGATAACCGGGGTGTTCGACATTACCGTGTTCGACATAGAGGGGTTTATTTTAATCATTTATAAAGCAAATGTCGTCAGGACCGCGGCCTTACTTCGACATATCCGGGGTATTCGAGATATCCGTGTTCGAGATTTCGAAGTTTAGCTGTATTTTTATTCGCGGGTTCGAATCCCACTGTGGGACGTGGAGACTGGTCCTTCGGATGAGACCGTATAAACTGAGGTCCCGAGTCGCAGTAGGTGCTTGCACGAAAAAGATCCCTCACTGCTCAATGGCCCTAAGTGTCGAGTATAGGTCAAAATTAACTCTCCACCGGCAAGTGGTGGCGTCTTCATATGGGTGAAAAATTCTAGAGAGGAACGTTATACAACAAACAAACAAACAAACAAAAACATTTTTTATCATGAAAATATTGATTTGAAGATTATTCGATGTTTTAAGTTTGGTAATTTACCCAAACATTTATCATTCCTCTAAAAAAATTAGATAATTGTTACTCACTTTGAGAAGAAACTAACCGCACATTAAACACTGTAAGCAGAAGATAAATGTTTAGTAGTCTCTCCATTTGATACTATTTGCTCTTTACTGTATGATGTGTGTTTCATAAGGAAGTAAGTTTTTGTTGTATTCTGAAATACATGTACGACACTTGAAATCAAGCATGAAATGAAAGAAAAGTGTAATTAAAAAGAAGACCAAGTCTATCCTGCTACTATTTTTAACGTCTTTAAGCTGTTTACAAATTATGCATTTGTGTATGAAAAACAGCTTTTTATCAGGTAATATAAATGCTTTGAGGCATCTTTACAAATTATCTTGTAATGCCTTTTCTTGACAAAATTCATCTTAAAGAGGTTATATGGGGGGATTTTTCGAAAGGCTGAAAATGAATTTTGTCATCAATAAAATGAGCACTTGTTTAAGGATATCCGATCCTCAGCCAGGAAGGATAACTCTTAAATTTGTTATTTTATTTAAAAAGTCTCAAAATGAAGCTTGAAATTGAGATCTTTTCGTGCAATAATTTTCATTTTATGCATCTTAATATGATTCAAGGTTCTTTGAAGTCTTAGAAACGGTCTTGTAAAAAGTTGACATTTGTACCCCATAAAAGAAAAAAAATGAATTCATTATTAGAGAAATCGAATTTCCTTTAGTCTAGCATTAGATACCACTGCTTATTAGCATGATATGAAATCAGATGTGATATGTGATGTCTAGCAATGATAGCACAAGCTTTTTACATTATGTATTATATGATAATTGAAGTAAAAAAGAAGATTTAAAATACTGTACAAGCATAAAAAAGATGCAATTTTCTCCAAATGCCTGGATACCTATATTTTTCTATCCTAAATTATATTTGTTGATCAATTTTCAATTAGGAAATGCATAGCTGGTGTTTTTATTCGCATTTCCTGAAAATATATTTGAGATCTGATAATTTTTCCTATGTAATATGATTAATTATAATGATGAACTTTGAAGAAATTCCATGGGTAAATTCACTTTACTAAGTGAAATCAGAGACATTTTTGTGAGAATTTTCAATTACTTAGAAGCTGATTTTCAGAACCTGAGGATCGGACTACCTTATTAACTGAACTTCCGTTATAGAACTCGGCTTTTTGTAAGTATCATCAAATTGTAGCATTTTGATATATTGATGACACCGTTGAATCTCTTCTGAGACATGGTGTGCAGCAGTATCAAAAGTTATCATTGAAATTAAAAATTAATTCCTTGAAAATATGATTGTAAATTCATTTTTGTTCTCTTAATTATATCTATACATATATATATATATATATATATATATATATATATATATATATATATATATATATATATATATATATATATATATATATATATATATATATATATATAGAATGAAAAAAGGTGAAGACAAGAAACAGTGATTTATCTAAAAAAAAAAATCTACAACCAATACAAATCTGTGAACTGGGCATAAAATACGGACCCACGGAAATTCCAGCGGTAGGAGCAGGCCTAGGAGGCCTAGGAGTTAACATCCCCTCCAGAGATACTACTCCTTTTGTGAGGAGTAAAGATATGGGCTTGAAAGTGCATTTGCTGGACCAGGCAATATGAAT